CCAGCCTTGAAAGTAATCAAAGCAAGCAGTACCACAACGTTTGTGGGTTGGCATACAAGAGACTAGGGCATAGCAAGTCATAGATTTAGTGTTAGGGGTAGAAACAGGATAGACGCGGCGAAGACTGGATCTAGTTGGCTGACAGTAGGTTTGTTGCACCAAAGACGTGGTCAATGTAGCAAAGGCTTGACGATGCGACTTACTCGGATGTTTTAACCTCGAATTAGTCACCCAGATGCAGGGGAGGACAAATAACGCCTCGAGTAGCACAGATGGGGTTACAGGGGTCGAGTGAAATACGTGAATAAGGGATATAGCAGACGGATCTTACGCGGCAAGAGAGAGACTGTGATAAGACCTAGGGAAGGAGGACGGTGTAACAATATGACAGAATCTGATCAACATTCCCAGCCCAAGGGTAAAGGGGGTGAGAACGACAGCGGGCAGTGTGAAGGGTTTTCATGAATGCTGCTCAAAGGATCACACCACATTACATGTAAATAAGCAGGGCAAAAACTGTAACAGTGAAAGGAATAATAGGAGTATATAGGAAATGTGAATAGCCCAGGGCAAAAGATGAGGTACCACAACCGTTTGGCACATTTTTGATAAAAGGATCGGCTTCATTTGTCTCTTTGACGAGTTGTTGTGTGATGCTAAGAGTTGCGAGATTCATTGACGATGCCGGCGAAACGTCTGGGAATGTACTACGTCCAAGGTCCGACTGGAAATTATCATACAATGGATTCCTCTAAGTCTTCCTACCAATATGAATAATTTGCGAAAACAATGTCAAACAACCTCTATACAACGAAAGGAGACTGCGACCACACAAAAGACCACACCATCTTGTTTTCCATACCTTCGATTAAACCATGAATATTGTCACTCAAGCAAACCATTCCAGATATCAACATTGTCCATAAAGTTGTATATAGAATAAAGCGGTCTAATAAAATTATTATTTAACAAAGGAAGTTAAGTGGTTTTTATATATCGTATATAGCCCTTAAAGTCGGCTTTAAATTGAATCCTTAAAAAGCGCGGGATCAATTCTAATAATGACCAATCTAAATTAAGCGCTACCAAAATTCCATAGATGTCTTGACTGATATAAATCATTCCAAAAGTCTGAACATGAAGTAAATAAAATTCACTACTCAATATGAAAATGTTTAGAGTTAAACTTACTAGTAGAAGTCTACAAGTCTAAAGAAAAATGGTGCTTATGAAGAGTCAAAAGCCGGTCCTACCTAAAGACGATGATGGATCTCTATTTGTCAACTGTGGCTTGCCTTTGTTAGGGTATTCTTGTTGACGCTGTTTCCAAGGAAATACTCCAAGACAGCATCAACAATTAATAGCTGGCCAAGAGAAATCTGCCGTTATCCTTTGGTGGGATTTACCTTTCAACCTATTCACCAAATACTTCCTCTCAAAATTTATATGAGTTCAACAATTATAGATATGAATATGCTTCAAAAAAACCCAACATAAACGAATTATCATCCCAGATAAAATCCAAATAGTTATGCTCTTTAGACAAGGAATTATATCATAAAAATAAGTCTGCTAGGAATAGAGTTACTTTGAGGGGCAGGTAATCTGTTGTAGTGGCCACCCTCCCAAGTAAGAGAGAGGTAGCTGCGCCCTAGCACCTGATTCCGCACCACTACCGCCAGTTTCTATGATTGAAGGACGCCATGGGGATAGGTAAATGAGAGTTGACTCAAACGAATCACATTGACTAGTTGATTGACTAGCATTGACTTCGGGGGTAGGGCAAGTGGGTAAACTGGCTGCTTCCGATGCCCAATTCGGGTCGACCGAGTTAAGTTGACTGGGCGAAGAGATCGAATCCTTAGAAGAAAGAGAGTGCCCAGTTGTCGGAGCGCAAACGAACTCTGGCCAGAATATACGTTCTTTGGATAGGGAAGAGCTGGATTATAAAGAGTTTAAAGATTGTAAAAGTGAAAATGTAGTGATAATTAAAAAGAAAATCAACAACTTAAAAATGTAAATACGGCCATTAAATGATAAGAAAAATTAGAAAAACAAGATAAGAAACAAAAATAAAGTTATGAAGATCAAATTTATATGACCTTTGTATCGTCGCGGTCTCCTTTCGTTGTATAGTAGTTGTTTGATCTGGTCTTCGCAGCTTTGTCATATTAGTAGGAAGACCTAGAGGTACACACCTTCTTCTGAGTACATAGTATGTGTGGTAATCTCCGGAGTTGAATCGTGGACTTGGTACATTCCCGGATGTTACGCCGGCATCGTAATCGGCATTGCCAGTAAGCCCTGCCAGTCTCAGCACAATATTACAATTCGTCGAAAGAGACAAGTGAAGTCGATCCTTTGAAAAATTGTCTGCTAAACACTTGTGATATCTCTCCTTCTGTCCTGGGCTCTTCACCTATCCTATTTCCTCGTATCATCTTTTCACTATCACAATTGCTTAATTTAATGTGGTATGATGTGTCACTTTGAAAGAATATGAGACCTCTTCACACCCACCTCTCCACCCTTGTGTTAAGAATGTTTATCTGAGCCAAAAATGTTAGTACACAATCCTCTTCCCCGTATGATCCGTCTCATCTCTCTGGTTCAGGTATTTCACTCGACCCGCATCGCTGATTAGGCCCACAAAGTCTAGATTCTTGAGGCTATAGATCCCCTTAGCACCGTTTGACATGTGCACCGAGTAATTTGCATGGTCAAGCCTTTGCTTTATGGACCACGCTTATGATCAAACAAGCTTTAGCCAACCAGCTAGTCTCCGCAGCATCTATTGTGTCTCTATGCCTAATGTCAAGTCTATGACTTCCTGTCCTAATTCCTTGTATACCAAAACCAAAAATATTGTGGTTCTACTTGGTTTGATTGAGCTCACTGTCAACATCTCCTCTTGGTTTCCAAATGTTCCTTTCTGGTCTCCTTGCGATTTATTTTCCTAAAATTAAGGATTTCTTGATCCAGTCATCTTCATCTTGCTGATCCCACTGTTTTATGATCTTCTCCAAGTTTGCATAGACAATCTGCAAAGAGTTCGCTGATCCTACCTTTTTCAAGTCTCCTATTCATTAGATTTCTTTCAGTCCGGATATCGATGGCCTCTCGTATCTTGCGTTTTCTCGTATTTTCACCATATGCAACCAGTATTTCTATCGATTTCCAGTCGACTTCGTATCTCATCAGTGCAATATGTTCCGCTATTTCATATCTTTCCATAAGCATGTTTCTACAAAGTCTTTGGTGTTCCTTGATTCTTCCTGTTCCATCAATATACTTCTACTCAAGGTTGCTTAATCAAAACAATTAGAGCCACAACATTTGTTGGTTGGTACACAAGAAAATAGGGCATAGGAAGTCATAGACTTTATAATATTGATAAAATCACGATAGATGCGGCGGAGACTAAAGCTAGTTGGCTAACAGTATATGTTTGAATATAGACGTAGTCCATGGAGCAAAGGCTTGACCATGAGAATTACTCAGTGCATATTTTGAACGGTGCTAAATGATCTATAGCCTTAAGTTAGTCTCCCATCCAGCTTGATGATCCAGACATTATTGGCCTGCTCAGCGAGGCGGGAGTATACGTGCCATCAAAAGCTTGAGGCAGAGCGTGGGAAATAACACCTTCAATTCAGCTTTTCATATAAAATGATAGGTATAAAAAGAGACAGAAGATATTATTAAAAATGATTTTCCATCTGATCATAAATTGTTTTGTCGATTTGGCTATAAAGTGAGCATTGAACTTTGTGTAACTTAGGTAAACTCGCAGATTTCATATGTTCTAGATTCCCAGATATTATAAGAGATGCAGAGACTTTATATTAATGAAATAAAATGCTAAAAAGGAATTTCATTTTTATATAGACTTAAAGCAGTTTTTAAGTTCTTAATTAGCTTTATTGGAAGCTAACTATTTTGAAATTAATCTGTCTAGTGAATTAAGAGTATAAATTTTTTTAATGCCTTACCAATCCTTTTCAGGGGCAATAAAAATGCCGGTCTCGCATCGAGAGTTGACGATATACACAGGTATAGGATAGATTTGCCCAATTTCCAGTCTAGTAAGGAGGCAAAGCTTACGATCAGGACTGACGCATTCAACCGAGCCTGAAGAAGTTGAAACGTTAGGCGGTGGAGGAAGACGTGTGAAAATATGAAGGCACTCGGACGTTTCATTTACGAGCTGTATCGAATAATAAAAATATATTATAAGCTCTCCAAAATAGAAATCATAAGGGAATTAACCTCATGAAATAATATATTTAGGGAGCAAGTAATGATATTTTGGCTCGAAAATAGAGATTATTC